CCCACAACTGTGAGGTAACGTGAGAAACAGGCAAGCTTGGGCGGGCAGCCACCAGCGTGTGCATGGGGGGAGGTGGAGAGGACGGCTGGCTGCCTCGGGCAGTGCCCAGCTGAGGCTGCAGAGTCTGCGCTGGGGTCTGGGCTCTGTCCAGGCCATGCCCGCCCCCAGCCCGCTGGCCACGGGGGCAGTTGGGGGCCACTGGGTTCCCACTTGGCCCTGGACTGGCGAGGGCGGGGGCCGCACCCGCCGGGCTCGTGTGACCTCGCCGGGACCCCTGAGCGGGGCGCTGCTGGGCTGAAGGTGGCCTGGAAGCCCGGCCCGGGGCCCGGCTGCTGCGAGCCGAGCCTCTGCCGCCCCCCCAGGTGGACAAAGACGCCGCGAGCCGCCAGCTGGGGCCCCCGGCTCCCGGCACGGCCCTGGGCGGCGCGGGCTCCGAGGACGGCGGCGCGAGCGGCCCTTGCGAGCGGAGCCCAGGGGTCACCTCCTGGCACCGCCACGCCCCGCCGGCCGGGGCCGGGGCCGGGGCCGGGCCGGCCGTGGCACCTACTCGGGCCGCCCGGACCGCGGGCCCCTCCTTCCCGGGGCGCGCAGGGGCGAGGACCGAGCGGGCGGCGGCGCGGCGGGGCGTCCGGGGCTCGGCTCGGGGTCCCCGGCGACGCGAGGCCGGCAGGCGCCGCCATCGTCCCGACCCGCCGGGCGCGCACCCCGCGGCCTGGGGGGGCCGGGCGGGCGGGGGCGCCGGCGGCTGCGGGGGGCGCCCCTGCCCGGCCGGGCGGCCTCCTCGGGGACTGCGGGCGGCGCCGCGCCCGCCCGGCCGGAAGTGCGTCCGCGGGGCCCCGCCCACCGCGCGCGCTCCCGAGGCGCTCTGGGCGCCGGAGGACGCCGCCTCGGTGGTGGCAGGGCGCCCCCTCGCGGCCGGCGGTGGCGCGGCGCCCGGCGGAGACCGAGCGCGCCCGAGCCGGGGCGGCCCGGGCCCCCCTCGCCCGCGGCCCCACTCGCCCGCGGGCCCCCTCGCCCGGGGCCCCCCTCGCCCGGGGACCCCTCGCCCGCGGCCCCCCTCGCCCGCGGCCCCCCTCGCCCGCGGCCCCCCTCGCCCGCGGCCCCCTCGCCCGCGGCCCCCCTCGCCCGGGGCCCCCCTCGCCCGCGGCCCCCTCGCCCGGGGCCCCCTCGCCCGCGGCCCCCTCGCCCGCGGCCCCCCTCGCCCGCGCCCCCCCTCGCCCGGGGCCCCCCTCGCCCGGGGCCCCTCGCCCGGGGCCCCCCTCGCCGGGGCCCCCCCGCCCGGGGCCCCCCTCGCCCGCGGCCCCCCTCGCCCGCGGCCCCCCTCGCCCGCGGCCCCCTCGCCCGCGGCCCCCTCGCCCGCGGCCCCCTCGCCCGCGGCCTCCTCGCCCGCGGCCTCCTCGCCCGCGGCTGTCTGCCCATCGCGGGCCGGAGCCGCCGAGCCGGTCGCCTCCTCGCGCCCGTCTGCCGGGCGCCTCTCGTGGCCGCCATTGCTCGCAGGGGACCGCGCTGAAAACATTGTTTCTCTCCCTTGCTTGGGGGGTCTCAAGGGCGCCCCTCAGTGCCCTGCCGGCCTGGGAGCAGCCACAGGCGGTGGCAAAGCTTCCTGAAACCTTTTCATGGAATCCCCCTGTCCTGGTGGGCCCCCGAAACATCATCCCTCGGAGAGGCGAGAGGCCGGAGGAGCCAGCGTCCCGGCTGGCGGCTGGCGGGAGGGAGGCTGTGCGGCCGGGCAGCAAGGTTGGGGGGGCTGCTGGGGACCCCGGCCGGGCCGGCGGGGCACACACCCTGGGCGCGGCGGCGGGCCGCTCCCCACTCAGGCTGCCCCGTTTTGGTGGTGGCGGGGAGCTGTGGGGGTGGGCTGTAGGCAGGCCCCAGGGCGCTGCCCCCCTCTGCCCTTCCTTCAGGGGTGCCCCTCCCTCTCTGTACGCTGGGCTCCGGCAGCCCTGCAGGCACCCCGAGTCTGCAGTCCCCAACACCCACTTGGGAGACCTGGCCACTACCTCCCCAATGCCGCTGGTTCCCTGTTGGGACCCCCTCCCCGGCCCACGGGCACTGAGTGGCTTCACAGCCCCCCCAGTGTCACCTCCTCGTAAATGTGAAACCAGATGCGTCCCCCACGTCCCCAGGTGTCCCTCTGGGAGTGCCCGGCTCTGGGAGGCAGCGAGCAGGGCGAGAGGCTGCCCACCCAGCTCTCCAGTCCCCGGGCCAGGGGCCAGGGCCCTGCCACAGGACGCCCAGTCCTCCAGAGTTTGGCCCCCACAGCTGTGTGGGCTTCAAGCCGCAGCCCCTCACTTACTTTCCCACCAGCTGGGGGGGCGGAGAGGTGGGGCCTACGGCAGGCACACAGGGCCCTGGGTGTGAGGCCGGGGGGTGGGGGTGTCCTTCCTGGCCTGCACAGGGCTCACAGGAGCCTGGGTGCTGTGAGGTGGCCCAGAGAGGTGTGAGAGGCAGGTGGGCAGGTTCCTGGGGCCCCAGGCCAGATGCTGGGTGGAGCTGGGGGGCGGCACCCCAGGAGGTCTTGACTGCAGAGGCCAGGGAACAGTGCAGATGGGGACACATGTTTATGCATTTATTTTGGGTAGAAGAACCAGGGTGCAGGCCAGAGGTGTGGGGGTGAGAGGACCCCCTGAGACAGAGTGGGGAGCAGAACAGGCGGATCCACTGACACACATTGCTGAGGGGAGCAGCGGGGAGTCAGGAGAGGTCTGCTGCGCCCTTTGGGCTGCTCCTGGCAGTGACAGCGCAGAGACCCAACCTCTAGGCCACCAGGGAGGCCTGGGACAGACGGCACCCTGCTGTCCACGACTTGGGAGGCGTCACAGGGGAGGAGCAGCCCCCCTGGCTGGGAGGGAGAGAGACATAGTGTGCTGGAGTGGACACCAGCTGAGGGGCCAGCCGGGGGGTGCCAGCCGTGTTGGGGGGCCACCCAGGAGCCATAGCCAGGGGGGTCAGCTGGGTGGGTTGGGGGGCACATGAGCTCCGGGGTACCTACTGGGGGTGTCTTGGGGCTTTGGATGCCCATGCCAGGGCGTGCACGGTCACATGGGCAAGCTGAGGTCCTGGTGGGACCTGGTCTTGGGGAGACCGTCCCACCCACTCAGGGTCTCGGCAAGCACCCCTTCCAGTCCTGGCCCAGCGCCAGCCCCATCTCTGGGCTGTGAGTGGCCCGGAGGTGGTGCCACGTCAGGCCGCCCTCCCGGCAGGACTGGGCAGGGCGCACCCTGAAGGCGGAACCTGTCCGCCGTGTGGTTTTGGGCCTTCGGGACAGTTGGGCCCGTGAAGACCCTGTGGCTGCTGCTGGCTCTGTGGGCCCCGTGCTCCCCGGGTTCTGTTGGCTCCTGGCCTGGGTCTCGGGGCCAGCCCTGCCCGCGGCCGCCCCGGCCCGCCCAGCTGGTTCCTGCTCTCCCTTGGGACTGCTTTGGGGGCGATCTGAAGAGGAAATAAGGAAGGAAATAAGGAAGCCCCACCTGACCTGGCTTCTTGTTGGGAAAAGCCAGCCCGGAAAGCAGAGAGAGAACTTGGGCCCGCAGGAGCCAGGCTGCTGGCCACGGTGGGGTGTGGCGCCCCTGAGCCCCGCCTGATGGCAACAGGGTCGCGAGCCCAGTGCTTCTCATTTGTTCAAAAAACTGCAGAAAGTTGGGAAATATGTCAAGCCACGTCCACGCAGGCTGCGCGCCACAGGTGAGGCGACAGCATGGAGCAGGCCCCAGGCGCCCCGTGGGTGCAGGGCCCGGCTACCACCCCAGCCCGAGCCCCGTCCTGGGCGCGTCGGCCTGTGCAGCCGAGAAGCTGAGCCTCAGGGTGCCAGTGATGCACATACGGCACACAGCCCATGCACACGTGGCACACGACACACGCACACACGGCACACAACACGCGCACATCGTCAGGGCGCGCACCCTCCGCCCGAGCGTGGCCGGGTCTGTGCACTCGGCACCTACCACACCCGGAGGCAGACAGGCTCATGGGCGTGTCCAGTTGAGTGTGTGACTGAGTGTGTGTGCACGCGAGAGTGTGCACGCATGTGTGTGAGTGTGCTCGCACGCACGTGTGTGCACAGATGTGAGTTGTATGCCCGGTGTGCGCTGCGCCACCTTCCACTTTCCTCTCCGGTGCGAGTAAGCCGGGGGCCCTGCTCCGGGGGCCCCGCGGGAGGGTGGCCCCTCACCCCCGGCCCGCGGGCTCTCCGCTTCCAGCGCTGTCGGTGCGGAGCATCCCGCGCATGAAGCCGGGCGCGTCTTTCACTCAGCGCACCTCTGGGGGCCTCGGACGCGAGCGGTGGCGGGGGGGTGGGGGGGTGCACGGGGGGGGTGCACCCTGTGGCTCTGGGCACTGCCCGCCTGGCCTCCTGGGCTCAGGGCTCGCCCACCAGTCTGCTGTCTGCAAGCCGCGCCCTGGGGCCTGGGGAGCCCGTGTGGCTGCGGGCAAGCCGGCTGGGCTCGGTGTCCCTCCCCGTCGCGCACACCCGCGGGGCCTGGCCCGGCTGGCGGGCTCCTGGGTCGGAGTCGGGCCTCTGCCCTTAGAGGGCTCCTCCAGTGACTTGGGGCCGCACCCCGCCCTCCTCTGGAAAACCCTTGCATTGGACCTGAGTGTGGGGTGGTGCCTGCCCTGCCATGCAGGTCAGGGCGGGCACCCCCAGGGAATCTCTGTCCTCAGGGAAGTCCTGCTGGCCACCCGCGCCCAGTTCCCAGGGCTGGGAACAAGGACCGGACGTGCGGCCAGAGCCACCTGCTTCTGGAGCGGCAAAGGAAGGGCCGGGACACGCATCAGCTGGGGCAGCCTGGGGAGGGCAGGCAGGAGAGGCGGGTGGCCCGATGGCACAGGCAAGGGGACAAGGACCTGGGGAGGGGGAGCGGAAGGGGGCTGCGGGGAAGGGGCGCCTCTGAAGGCGGCTCTGGAGCCCCCTGGTGAGGCCAGCAGTGCTCCCCTGGGAGGGGAGGCCCCCGGGGTGGGGTTGGACAGGCCGCGGGAGGGCGGGGCTGCGTCACTGGGAAGGGCGCTCAGCCCAGTGGCTCCTGAGCCCCGGCCTCCAGGGGCAGCAGGGGCGGGAGGGCCACCCTGCGGACAGAGGGCCGCTGCAGGCCGGGCAGGATGGAGGGCAGCAGCCAGCGGGGCCGTGGCGAGACCTCAGGGCCATGGCAGGGAGCGTTCTGAGGGGAGACGGTGGTGCTCCTTCCCCAGGCTCCCCAGGCCCCGGGCAGCTCAGGAGCAGGAGCGCCTGGGGTCCAAGGAGGGATGGGGGCGTATGGGAGTGGGCTGGACACCCCTCAAGAGGAGAGAGGGAGAAGGGGAGGGGGGAGGGGGAAATGGAGGGGAGACGGGGGAGGAAAGGCAGAGGGCAGAGGAGGAGGGCACGGGAGGGGGCTTCCCAGCGCACCCTGGTTTGTAGGGCAGGTCGGAGCCTGCTGGGGGTGGGCAGGACAGGTCAGGCATCACGCCTGCCCCAGGCCGCGGACAGAGGTCACTCTCAGCGCAGTGGCTAAGGCCCCCCACGTGTGCTTGGAAGGAGCCCCGCTCCCGACTCCTGTTTCCAGGGCCCCCCTGGGAGGTGGGCACTGGGCGGCTTTGGGGGCGGGTGACAGTGAACCTTAGCGGCGCCCCCTGCTGGCGTGAGGCCCCAGGAGTCTCAGAGCCCGGGTGGGTGTCGGGCAGGGCAGGGGGCGCGGGGTCCTGTCCATCCATCACGAGGTTTTCCTGCCTCCCCGGGCTGGGCCAAGCAGGGGGCAGGCTGATCCCTGGGTGGACGCAGGGTCATGTGGAGGCGCCAAGGGCCGGGCCTGGCTCTGCGCTGTCTGGGCCAGGTGAGCGCCCACTGCTGGCCCAGGGCTCACAGCTGGCCCGGCAGGGGCAGGGTCTGGCGTGGAATGGGGTGCTGAGCTCCGTCACAGCCCCACACCCAGCCTGGGCCCCTCGGCAGGGAGGCGACCCCACGTGGGCAGTGGCCCTGAGGCCCTGGAGGGAGGGTGGCTGCGAGGCAGGTGGGGAGGGGCTGGCTGGAGAGGGGCTTTGAGGAGGGGGCAGGGGCCATGAGCCCAGGACCTCAGGGTCCCTTCCAGCTGAAGAGGGGGTGCAGTGCCCTCTGTGTTTAGTCAGCAGGGTTCTCTGGAGAGCTGGGGCGGGCTGCGGTGCTGCGTGCCACCGAGGGCCGAGGGCAGCTCCGGGGGGCAGCCGGGGCGTCGATGTGGTTCAGCCCGAGGCCCGGGAACCAGGAGCTCTGGGGTCGGAGGGCAGATGGGCAGCCCGACTCTGCCTTTTTGTTCCATTTGGGCCCCAGTGGGCTAGACAAGGCACCCACATTGGGGAGGGCAGCCCACCAGGCACACCCCAGGACCATGTGGCCAGCTGCGTGGGGTGCGTCCCCTGGGCAGGTGGACGCAGTGAACCCCACCCCACCCTGTCCCCTGGCCTGTTCCTTTTAGAGCCTCCTCAGACCAGACTCAGGCTGGGCCGCCGTCCGAGCCCCACCCCCAGCTCTGGCACAGCCCCCGGCACCCCCCAGCGTCCCAGAACTGCTGTTGGCAGGACATGGCGAGCTGGGCCTGGTCCTGCCGCTGCCCTGTTCCATGACCTTGAGCCAGAGGTTTGATGGGCCAGTGTGTCCTGAGCCCCTGTGGTGGTGCCAGGCGGGGGCTGGCAGGGTGGGGCTGGTGCCCACGCCTGAGCTCAGGGCACTCACGTCGCCCGGCTCCCTTCTGTGCCCGTGGCCCCGAAACGGGTCAGCTGGTTCTGCTTCCAGCCGGGAGGGGCCCGGGACCTGGAGAAGAGGCTGAGGCCGGGGCGGGCCCTGCAGCCCCGGCCTCCCCAGCTCCCAGCTGGTGCTGCCCACAGAGGCTCAGCTCCGGGAGCGTGGTGAGGGGGCGCCGGCACTTGTGCCCCGGCAGGGCTCCCACACCTGGGCTCCGTGAGTGCCGGCAGCAGCCGTGCCCCTGTCCCAGAGGTGCTGAGGTGTCTGGTGGCGCGGGGCTCAGGGGGTTCTTCCCATAGCCCTCCGCACGGGCTCCGGGCGGGGCTGCCGGGCGCAGGGACATCGGGCTCGCCCCAGCACGTCCCTTCTTCCTGGCTGCAGCCCGTGGCGGGGCGTGCCAACCTCCGGCTCGCCGCGGGCTACCACAGGGCTGGCCCGTGTGGGGCTAACGCAGGCGCCTGTGCAGCGGGAGAGGAGGCCGCTCTGGCTGTGCGTCCGTGGCTGCGCCTGCTGTGAGCGTGACGAGGCGGCGACGGGGACCCCCACGGTGCCCGGCTCCAGCACGGCACACGTTTACTTCCCTGGCAGGTCAGGGGTCCTGAGGGGGCAGTGCGGGGCTGACCTCTTGGCTCCTGGTCATCAGCGATGCAGGCTCCTCCCACCACGCTGCCCTGCCATTGCCGGCGCACTGCCTCCCGGCGCAAGGGGGCTGCTGAGCTCCAGCCGTTCCAGCCAGCAGGAAGCCTCCTGCACCTAAGATTTGCCAGCTGCCTCCAGCCAGAACTGAGTTTCCATCAGTACGTGAAGGGGAGAAGGGACAGGGGAGGCCTCCCCGGTGGCGCAGCAGGTTGAGCGCGGCGCTGTGGAGCTGCCCGCAGCCTCCGCAGTGTGGGTTCCATCCTGGCCGGCCAGGGAGCTACCCACATGGCGCGGCAGATCCTGTCTCCCCGCTGCTCCCCTCAGTGGTGTCTTCGGCCCATCTGCCTGTTCTGCTCCCCGCTCTGTCTCTGGTGAATCCTCTCACCCCCCGCACCTCTGGCCTGTGCCCCAGCTCTTGTATAAAAATAAATAAATCTTAAAAAAGAAGAAGGGACGGGGCGCCTTCTACTGCTGGGGTGAACCTGACTGGCAGGACTGGGGTCTGGGTTCCCAGCAAGGGGACGTAAGTGGGCAGGTGCCGAGCCCCACTAAGCCCTGCTCCCCGATGCCCGGATGGCCAAGCGTGCTCAGACCGGCGGCCTCCTCTCCCCTCCCAGAGCCCTGTTAGGTGCTTGTCGCCGGGGACAGTGAGGCTCAGCCCATCCCTGGGCAGACTCTGCAGCCAGGGGAGACCCCCGGGAACCCTCCCTGGATGGGGAGCCGATTGCCCAGCCCCGCCACACCCCTGCCCGGAGGGCTGTTGGGCGGGCCTAGCCAGCCGCTGCCTGCTTCCTTCTCTCCTGCCCCCGAACTCCACTCTGCACCCCTCTCCTACCCGCCGCAGCCTCCTGGCCCACCCCCCAGCACTGTCCCCGGGAGCACCCCCCAGGGAAAGGCCAGGCGACCCGCGGGCCCTCAGGCGGAGCCTGTCTCGGCCCCAGGCTGCGAGGACCCCCCTCCCCAGGGCCGAGGCCTCGCACAGCTGCTGGGGAGAGGAAATCAAGGTGCCAGACGGGGAAACGGAGGAAGAGCAGCGGGGGCTGGGAGGGGCTCGGGCCGGCGGGGCCGCCGCAGGTTTATTCACGTGGCGGCCAGGGGCAGCCGGGGCGGGGCACCTCAGGGCCCCACGAGCCGAGGACCAAAAGGAAGCTGAGCAGGAGGCCGGCGGCCAGAGCCGCGGGGCTCCCCTGGGGCGCCCCCGCCGCGCCCCCGGCTGGCCCTGCCAGGGCGGGACGTTGCACAGCGCCGACTGGCAGCACACCACGGTCATCAGGGTCCCGGCCACGGTCCTGGAGATGGGGCGGCACGTGTCCGAACACCACGCAGAGTAGGTGGTCAGGGGTCCGGACTCTGGGGGCGGCGGAGAGGCGGTCAGGCGGGGGAGGGCGCGGGGCCGGGGTCCCCCCCCCCCCCCCCCCGGCCTGGGCTCACCAGTGTCCCCGTGGGAGAGGATGGTCTTGCAGAAGGCGTGGCTGGAGCTGCAGTTCTGCCGCAGGCCGCAGCCCTCCCCGCGGTGCAGGGACTGGCAGGAGTAACACCGCAGGCCTGCAAGGGGGGTCGGTCCTCACCGGGTCCACCTCCGCACCCCAGACCAGCCTGCCGGCGCCTCCCTGTGCCCCTTGGGACAGGCCAGCAGAGCCCACGCTTGGCCACGGCCTTGGACAAGAGCCGAGAGCAGGTGGGGTTGGGGGCGGGGTGGGGGACAAGCCCTTCGGCAGGGGCTCCAGAGGTCTGGGGTGTGTCCTTGGGGCCCCCAGCCCCTGCGCCTGCCCACACGGGTCCCTGCTGGCCGCACCGTGGCCCCCTGGGGCTCCTCCCCAGCTCCCCACCTGGGTGGTCCTGGTGCTGAGGGCCGGGCCACCCCCCCACCCCCAGAACCAGTGGCAGGAGCGCCCCTGCCCTGGCAGGGCAGTACCTGCACCCCTGCCGCCTGCAGCCTTGTCCTGCTCGTCCTCCTCGTCCTCCTCGTCGTCCTCGTCGTAGCCCTCCTGCCTCGGGTCCTCCTCGTCTGCCCCCTCGTCCTGCGCCTGCCCGCCCCCTGCGGACGCCGAGAGACTCTACTGCCCACGCCAGGCCCCGCCGCCCACCCCCCGCCCCTGTGCTGCCATCCTCCCTGGCCTGCCCCCCGAGGCCCCGTCCCTCCCACCCACATGCCCTGACCAGCAGCCCCTCCGGCTGCCCCCCCAGAAACCCTGGGAGGGCGTGACCACTTTACAGAGAAGGAACCCTGGAGCTGAGGACGGAGGAGGCCCAGAGCGTGCATCTTGGGGAGGCCCAGCAGGATGGGGGCCCGAGGGGGAGAACCCACGCCTGGGCTGGTTTGGGGCCTGTGGGCACTGGGCGCCAGCTCCTCCCAAGCCCACCTCTAGACCCAGGGCTCTGGGCCTGGCCCGCACCGCCCTGCCCCCAGGGCCTGCCCCGCGTACCTGGCCGGCCGCACAGCAGCAGGGCCAGCAGCACGGCCGTGAGCGCCTTCATCCCGCGCCTCCGCGTTGTCCAAGGCCGCAGCCGCTCTGCCTCCGTGGGAAGTGGGACAGGGGGCATTGCCAGGGGCTTCCTGGAGGCCCTCCCCAGCGGCCGCAAACAATGGGCCCACGCTGGCCCCCTGCTCCAGGCACCAGGCCAAGGAGCCGTCCAGTTCTTCCCCTGGAGGGAACGGGAAGTCCCCATGGGCGGGTGTCCTGTCCTCTTTTGTGCCCCCCCGCCCCCACTGGCGGAAGGTGGGCGCTGGCCACGGGGCCACCGGGGACCTGCCTGGCTTGCCAGCCTCAGGGGCCCGCGGGCAGGCCGGGCCGGCAGCTGGTGAGCGGGGCGAGGGGCTGCCCCTCCCCACAGGCTGCGGGCGCTGAGGCTCTCCCCTTCCCGGAGGCCGGGCGGGGTGGCGGCTGCAGTCAGAGGCTTGTGCCTCAGCCACTCCCTTAACGTGCCCAGCCTCAGTTTCCCTGGCTGTCCTTGGGGTGGACATTGTCCAGCGGCGCTGTCGATGGAGACCCCACTCCAGCCGCGCCTTTCCCTGGCATGGGTCTGGGACAGCAGCTCTTGCTTCCCCCTAGGGGTCTGTGGCTACCAGAAGCCAGAGTGGACAGCTGGGGGGCATTTCCCCGATGTCTCAGCAGCCGAGTCACGACCTGCCTCAGTTCCCGGGTGCCCACCTCCTTAGGCCCAGTCCTCCTGGCTGCGGCCTCCCTGGCCAGGGCCAAGCCCTGATCATCTGGGATGCCCCCTCACTTGGGACCCTGGGTGCCACCTCTCCGTTCCTTGGTCCTGGCCCAGGCACTGGCTGGCCAGGCTCCTGTGCCACTCCTGCCAGGGGCCACCTGGACCCCGGAACTGCAGGGAGCAAGGGTCTCACCTGCCCCCTCCCCTTGGACCCAGAGGCCAGCTGCCCAGGCGAGGGCTGGTGGCCACAGTGAGAGAGGCCAGGGAGGCTTGGGGGCTCGCCAGTGCTCACACCGCGGCTGGTGCATCCTCCCCCCCTGCTTCTGCAGACGCCCAAAGCTGCCGCAGTGGCTCTCACCCTGGGCGCCACGCAGGGCGGACATGGCTCCCTCCTCCGGGGCCTCTCCCCTGGGCTTTCCCCTCAGCTGCAGGGTGGGCCTGTGGTCCCAGGCCCCTCCCAGAGCCCCCACACCCTGAGGGGTGGCTCCGGCCTCGCCTGTCCTGTCTGCTGGCCAGGCTGCCCTCGGGTCCCTGCCCACCCAGCCCTGGCCGTGGGCCAAGCAGACCACCATCCTCCTGGCGGCACCTGCCTGGGTCTCCTGGCAGCACCTGCCAGGCTGCTCCTGGGTTGGCAATGAGGCACCGGACCCGCCTTCCCGGAGGGATGGCTGAGAAGTGGCAGAGCCAGCACCAGGGGCCTGGGCCTGCCTGCCACCCTCACTGCTCCAGTCCGGCGGTGGGGAGAGTGGGGGTGAGGGTGGGGCCCTCTTGCACCCCCAGAGAGCTGTGTGGTCCTGTCCTGAGTTCTGAGCCCCAATCTGCCCACTACCCTGGGGTCACCAAGGCGAACGGGGCCCAGGGCAGAGGTCTGCCAGCCACCTGGCGGCTGCCCAGGTGTGGGGGATCAGGGCCTCAGGGCAGCCCGGTGCAGGTGTACTGGCCGTCACGCTCAGCCCCTGCTCTGTGCTCCCTGCTACACAGTGACCCGCTTCTCAGCCCCACCTCTGGGAGAGAGCTCAGACTGTCCCTCCCCACCCCCGCCGTGGGCAGGGGCCGTGGGGTCTCTGCTGTGAGGGCCCGGCAGCCTGCTCCTGGGTTGGCAGTGAGGCACCGGACCCTCCTTCCCGGAGGGATGGCTGAGAAGTGGGCAGATGTGGATGCGGCCTCAAGCCCCTGCATGCCCATGCCCACTCCCCCAGAAACCGCGAGGAGAACCTGGCAGAACCCCCTCCGTCCCCCACGGCTCCCCACAGCTGCCTCTCTGGGGTGCTCTTACCAGCCAGAGCCCGCCCTCCGCCCCCTGAGCCCTGGTGGAGGGGGTGCCCACCGGCTCCTGGTGTCCGTGCCGGCTCAGCAGGGTGCCCACCCAGTTGCCAGGGGCGCCTGGGGTCCGGGCAGAGACCGGGCGCGCAGGTGCGGGTGGGGTGTTTCTAGGTTGAATTTTTAGATCCCCCTCTTTTGCGTGTGAACACACAAGTGTCCTGTTAAAAACAAAGTAAAACCCAAACACTCCCCGCCCCCGCCTGTTCCCTTAGTGCTCCCTCAAGCCCGCCTCCCTCCTCCAGCCCTGGCGGGGGCGGCACCTGCGTGCCCTGCCTCTGCCCCCCCCAGGGGACCCCCCACGCCCCGCCCTGTGCCCTGTACGTGGGGAGCCAGGGCAACGCCCTCTCCAGAGACCTGCGTTACCTGCTCACGGCCTTTTCCCCTAAAGAGGGGTTCCAGGCTTGACCCACTCTTGGGCCCACGGCCCCTCCCTCGCGGGGACGCCCACGGCTCTGGACCACGGTTCCATGGGTTGCCTGCCCAGTGCTTGGCCTGGTGCCAGCACTGCCAAGACCAGGAGACACTTCAAGGGCAGGAGGAGCCTTGGGGGCGGGGTCAGGGATCCAGCTGGGTCGTGGGGACCTGGGGACGTCCCTGTGAAGCCAACTTCCCCTGGCTGTCCTGGGAGCTTGGCCGGCGCTGGCTGGCTACCTCTGCTCGGTTTTTGGGAGGGCATGGCCTGCGGCCTGGGGCGGGGGCACTGCACGGCACCCGTGGGCCGCCAGGCCACGGCTTCAGTTCTGCTCCCTGAGTGCTGGGCCCACAGACACGTCTCCAGGGCTGGGCTTGTGGGGGCGTCCCCAAGTCAGACTTCAAAATGAGTGGCTGTGTTTGATCCATTTAATAGAATCAGCTTTTGTGTGGTTCCTTTGACTGGTGTCTCTGCCCGGACGGTGCGGAGGGGTTGAGCCGGGGGCCGGCAAGGCGCTGCCTCACTGGCGGCAAAGGCCCGGGGCTGCTCAGGCCCCTGCATCCTGGCCGCCGCGTCTCCCTCGGGTAGTAGTGTGTGCACACATCACTACACTCTGGACTGCAAACGTATAGCTCCCCTCGACGGGCGGTGTAGACACATGAAGTTTCAGCTTCGGTGCCAAGTTCCACGGCCAGGGCTCGAGATCCCTCCCCCCGCCCCCATCTGCGGTTGTCAGGCTCTCCAGCGGCTGCTGCAGCCCCAGGCGTCACACACGCACAATGGCCCGGCCGAGGGGCCACCTCTTCCATGCCATGATTTTTGTTTGTTTGGTCTTGTTCGGCTGCAGGACAATGCCGAAATCACACATTCACCACAAACTCATTGCAAACGGAAACTGCCCGTGCAACAGAAAACAGCCCCACTCGCCGGGCAGGCTCTCCCAGGACAGCAGGCGCGCCATCGAGGCACAGGGCGTGTCCCGAGCCAGAGGACTGGAGTGCCTCCTCCCTGAGGCGCCACCCCTGAAGGGAGGTGCTGCCCTGACTTCTAACCGTGCCCTGATTTTGCAGGCCTGGTGTGAGGGCTGCGGACAGCACCATCTCGTGTCTGACTACCCACCGCACCCCGCTGGTCCTCCGTGCCTGCTGGCCGCTGCTCCTTGTGTGCGCCCCCGGGCCGATCTCTCCCTGCTGTTGGCTCATTTCCAGTTTCAAAGAGGAGGGGAAAGTGGGCCTGGTCCAGGGCAGCAAGGGGCACTAAAACTGGCCCCGGACACTGCCCCAATGGTTTACCTGTCACTGTCTGAGCGCCTCACCCGTGCGCACAATTGCAAGGCCGCTCAGGCTCAGGGAACACCAACAACAGGGTTTACTTAACAAACATGGAAAAGCAAAGTCCCTGAGACCACAGATGCCCGTTTGCCTTCCCCGAAGCCGTGTCCAGTGTTCCAAAGTCCTGAACACAAACCCTCCAAAGACGGTGTCTTCCTGCCACTAAGGGCCGGGGGGCAGGCGGTGGCCAGACTGCAGGCCGGCTCCAACTTACCAAGACAGCGGAAGACACAGCAGAAGATGCTCCTGGGGCCGCCAGGACGCCCCAGTGCAGCACCGGACACGCGGCACTCAAAACAGGAGCTGCAGCGGCCGCACGACCCGGCCAGTGGCTACACTCACGGCCCAGCGAGGCACGGCTCGTGCCGCGGACCAGCGCAGCGGTGGACTAGCGAGGCCGACTCAGGGGCGAGAAACTGCGGGATGGGCAAGGATTCGGCGCGTAAATGACAGACAGACGCGCTTCGGGAGTGAATATCCGACTGTAGTGTGCTCACATCATCTTGTAGTTTTATACATGCTTAAAAAGCATTAGGTCATACAAAATCTATGTTTTTACAGCAAAACTTGATTGACGTACAAGATATATTGTCTGATTTTTCCATAGAAACAGTGAGCAGTGCTGCAGATCAAGGTACATACTATTATTTTTTAGCTAGTGATTATAAAGCGCTAAGCAGAGGCGATGCGCCATACATAAAGCACAAACAGAGACACTACATTGTTGAACCTGTTCTGCTAGTTTTAATTTAAGTGCCTCGATTTCCCTGTTAACTTCTTTTCATGCTTCTAAATTTCAATGACCTATGAATTTAGCTAAAACCATTTTGAAATATTAGTTTTGCTTTGTAGAGGATATGGAGTCCGTGGGGACCCTGACTCATTGATTCTGTTCCTAAGTTTTAAATCATTACCTAGTTTTGGTAGTAGTGTTATAGAGCAGCCCCGATATTAAACGGGTTCCTGGCTGTGGGTCCTCACCCGCGTGCTTTAAAGGGACTTATGAATACTCCACTACAGACACACACAAAAGTGTTAATAAAAGGTTTATTTACAAGAGAAAAAGAAATAAGGAAAATGTACAACTCAGGGAGAAAATAGGGAAATAAAGTCTTTCATGCGTCCTACCCGATCCGACGACCTAGAAACCCAAAGGCACTCTCAGAGCTGGCCGGACGCTGCGAGCTGGCGGGGAGCCAAAATGGAGAGCCCCCCAAAGCCCACGTGTCTGCCTTTTGTATCCACCTGGCTGCTGAACCCCACCCTCAGGTCCCAGCCACCTTCCCTTTGGTGGGGATGGGATTTAAGCCAAAGACACTGGGAACTCCACATCCCATCCCCACCAAAGGGAAGGTGGCTGG